CCCCGCTCCATCCTCGCGTCACCCTGAGCCCCGCTCCATCCTCGCGTCACCCTGAGCCCCGCTCCATCCTCGCGTCACCCTGAGCCCCGCTCCATCCTCGCGTCACCCTGAGCCCCGCTCCATCCTCGCGTCACCCTGAGCCCCGCTCCATCCTCGCGTCACCCTGAGCCCCGCTCCATCCTCGCGTCACCCTGAGCCCCGCTCCATCCTCGCGTCACCCCGCTCCATCCGCCCGTCACCCTGCTCTCCAAATCGCCTCAAATCACCCTGCGCCCCGCTCCATCCTCGCGTCACCCTGAGCCCCGCTCCATCCTCGCGTCACCCTGAGCCCCGCTCCATCCTTCGCGTCACCCTGTGCCCCGCCTCCATCCTCGCGTCACCCTGCGCCCCGCTCCATCCTTTGCGTCACCCTGAGCCCCGCTCCATCCTCGCGTCACCCTGAGCCCCGCTCCATCTTCGCGTCACCCTGAGCCCCGCTCCATCTTCGCGTCACCCTGCGCCCCGCTCCATCCTCGCGTCACCCTGAGCCCCGCTCCATCCTCGCGTCACCCTGAGCCCCGCTCCATCTTCGCGTCACCCTGAGAGCCCCGCTCCATCCTCGCGTCACCCTGTGCCCCGCTCCATCTTCGCGTCACCCTGCGCCCCGCTCCATCCTTGCGTCACCCTGCGCCCCGCGTCACCCTATGGTTGCCAACTCATCCCTTTAAAACTGAACAAATTATACAGGTTCTGTGGCTGATTAGGGTGGTAAGCGATGTGCTCTACGCCACCCTGGGGTCACCCAGCCTCCCCTCTACGCCACTCTGGGGTCACCCTGGGGTCACCCAGCCTCCCCTCTACCCCTTGGTCACCCCCCAGCCACTGAATCCCTCCACTCCGGAGATCGCACCCCCCAGGGTCACCTTGCCCCTCCTGTACCTCCCAACAGACGACATTTGGGGTTGAAGACATAGGCCTCGGTGTCCTTGTAGAGCGGCATGTCCTGGGCGGGCGGACTCCGGTGGTACCGGGGGTTGTGCCAGTCCGGGCTCCATCGGGTGAACTTGGGTCGGGCCAGCCAGGGGAGGAAGTATCCCCGCTCCGCGTATGTGATCCGCTCCAGGCCCGGGATCTCCGGGGGTTCCGTCCTCGGATAGGGGCGGACCTTCTGCTGCTTCCTACTACACCGGGAGGACACACTGAAACAGCGGAGCCCCGGGCCCCGGACACACAGCCCGGACACAGCCTGCAGCATGGAGGCCGCCATCTTGGGGCGCTGAGGATGACGGGAAATGGACTGTCACTGAGGGGAAGACTGACAACCAGGAGAGTCACTGAGGAGTGTGAGGGAGTAATGGCGAGTATAGGGGAGTATAGGTGAGTATGGGCCGGTCACATCAAGAGTGACGTCTACATATAGGATCACTGGGCGCCATTGGACTTCACCTGGACAGTGGGGTGTCACCTCATCCCCCCCCAACCCAACACATTCATTACACAGGATCTGGGGCGGATTAATGACACTCACCTACCGCCTGATCTGTATTAAATCAGCCTCGGAACTTGTGTAATGATATGTGTTGGGGTTTAAAGAAGTGAGGTGGCAACCCTCCCTGGACTACAATCTTCCCTCCTCCCCCCAACACTGTCCCCTCCCTGGACTACAATCCTCCCTCCCCCCCCCAACACTGTCCCCTCCCTGGACTACAATCCTCCCCCAACACTGTCCCCTCCCTGGACTACAATCCTCCCCAACACTGTCCCCTCCCTGGACTACAATCCTCCCCCAACACTCCCTTCCCTGGACTACAATCCCCCTCCCCCCCAACACTGTCCCCTCCCTGGACTACAATCCTCCCTCGACTACAATCCTCCCCCCCCCCCCCAGCACTGTCCCCTCCCTGAACTACAATCCTCCCCCCCCAACACTGTCCGCTCCCTGGACTACAATCCTCCCCCAACACTGTCCCCTCCCTGGACTACAATCCTCCTCCCAACACTGTCCCCTCTGTGGACTACAATCCTCCCTCCTCCCCCCAACACTGTCCCCTCCCTGGACTACAATCCTCCCCCCCCCCCAACACTGTCCCCTCCCTGGACTACAATCCTCCCCCCCCCACTGTCCCCTCCCTGGACTACAATTCTCCCCCAACACTGTCCCCTCCCTGGACTACAATTCTCCCCCAACACTGTCCCCCTCCCTGGACTACAATTCTCCCCCAACACTGTCCCCTCCCTGGACTACAATTCTCCCCCCAACACTGTCCCCTCCCTGGACTACAATCCCCTCCCAACACTGTCCCCTCCCTGGACTACAATCCTCCTCCCCCAACACTGTCCCCCTCTGTGGACTACAATCCTCCCTCCCCCCCAACACTGTCCCCTCCCTGGACTACAATCCTCCCCCCCAACACTGTCTCCTCCCTGGACTACAATCCTCCCCCCCAACACTGTCCCCTCCCTGGACTACAATCCTCCCCCCCTCCAAACACTGTCCCCTCCCTGAACTACAATCCTCCCCCCCCTCCAACACTGTCCCCTCCCTGGACTACAATCCTCCCTCCTCCCCCCAACACTGTCCCCTCCCTGGACTACAATCCTCCCTCCTCCACCCCAACACTGTCCCCTCCCTGGAATACAATCCTCCCTCCTCCCCCCCCCCAACACTGTCCCCTCCCTGGACTGCAATCCTCCCTCCTCCCCCCCCAACACTGTCTTCTCCCTGGACTACAATCCTCCCTCCTCCCCCCCAACACTGTCCCCTCCCTGGACTACAATCCTCCCTCCCCCCCAACACTGTCCCCTCCCTGGACTACAATCCTCCCTCCTCCCCCCAACACTGTCCCCTCCCTGGACTACAATCCTCCCTCCTCCCCCCCAACACTGTCCCCTCCCTGGACTACAATCCTCCCTCCTCCCCCCCCAACACTGTCCCCTCCCTGGACTACAATCCTCCCTCCTCCCCCCCAACACTGTCCCCTCCCTGGACTACAATCCTCCCTCTCCCCCCCAACACTGTCCCCCTCCCTGGACTACAATCCTCCCTCCTCCACCCCAACACTGTCCCATCCCTGGACTACAATCCTCCCTCCCCAATCCTACAGTGTGCCCTCCCTCAACTACAATCCTCCCTTCCTCCCCCTCCAACACTGTCCCCTCTATTCCCCTCTCTGAACTACAATCCTCTGCCCTCCCTCCAACACTGTCCCCTCCCTGGACTACAATCCTCCTCCCAACACTGTCCCCTCTGTGGACTACAATCCTCCCTCCCCCCCCAACACTGTCCCCTCCCTGGACTACAATCCTCCCCCCCTCCAACACTGTCCCCTCCCTGGACTACAATCCTCCCCCCCTCCAACACTGTCCCCTCCCTGGACTACAATCCTCCCCCCCTCCAACACTGTCCCCTCCCTGGACTACAATCCTCCCCCCCCAACACTGTCCCCTCCCTGGACTACAATCCTCCCCCCAACACTGTCCCCTCCCTGGACTACAATCCTCCCCCAACACTGTCCCCTCCCTGGACTACAATCCTCCTCCCAACACTGTCCCCTCTGTGGACTACAATCCTCCCTCCTCCCCTCAACACTGTCCCCTCCCTGGACTGCAATCCTCCCTCTCCCCCCCAACACTGTCTTCTCCCTGGACTACAATCCTCCCTCCTCCCCCCCCAACACTGTCTTCTCCCTGGACTACAATCCTCCCTCCTCCCCCCCAACACTGTCCCCTCCCTGGACTACAATCCTCCCTCCTCCCCCCAACACTGTCCCATCCCTGGACTACAATCCTCCCTCCTCCCCCCAACACTGTCCCCTCCCTGGATTACAATCCTCTGTCCTCCCCTCCTCCCTCCAACACTGTCTATTCCCTGGGCTACAATCCTCCCTCCTCCCCCCAACACTGTCCCCTCCCTGGACTACAAGCCTTTGTCCTTCCCTCCTCTCTCCAACACTGTCCCTCTCCTAGAATATTGTTCTTTATCCATCCTCCAAAATGTTCCTTCATCTGGACTACAGTCCTCTCCCTCCTCTAACATTGTCCTTCTCCTGGACTACAATACTCTGTACATCCATCCTACAAAAATGTTATTTCCCTGGACTACAGTCCTCTGTCCCTCTATAGTCCCAGCTGTCCTTTTCCTGGACTACAGTAATCTCCCTCCTTCCACCATAGCTGTTCTTCCTCTATAGCTGTTCTTTCCTTAGACTACAGTCCTCTGTCTTTTCTTACTCCAACACTGTCCCTTTCCTGGACCACCATTCTCTGTCCCTTTCTTCTTTATAACCTTTTGCTTTCCTGGACTACAATCAACTGCCTTCTCTTCCCCCAACACTGTTCCTTTCTTGGACTACAGTGATCCTTCCTTCCTTCCTTAAACTATTGTCTCTCTCCTGAACTACAGTCCTCTGTCTCTCTCCTGAACTACAGTCAACTGTCTCTCTCCTGAACTACAGTCCTCTGTCTCTCTCCTGAACTACAGTCCTCTGTCTCTCTCCTGAACTACAGTCCTCTGTCTCTCTCCTGAACTACAGTCCTCTGTCTCTCTCCTGAACTACAGTCCTCTGTCTCTCTCCTGAACTACAGTCCTCTCCGTCCTTTTTCCAAAAATGTCCTTTCCCTAGACTACAGTTCTGTGTTCTTCCTTCCTCCAGCACTGTCCCTTTCCTGGACCACCATCCTCTGTCCCTCCATCTTTCCCTTTCCTGGACTACAGTCCCCTTTGCTTTCATTCTCCAGCACTCTTCATTTCCTGGTCTCTCCTTCTTGCAGAACTGTCCTTTTCCTGGTCTACGTCCCTATTTCCTTTTTTTTTCTCCAGCTGTCCTTTTCCTGGACCACATCCTTTTCCACTTTTATCTCCAAAACCATCCCTTTCCAGGAGCTCAGTCCTCATTCCTCATTAATGATCGCTTTTCCCATCCACCTGACCTCCCTTTTATTAATAAATGGTGTCCATGTTCTATAAGACATTCTGTGCTCTGCAGGTGATGGGTGACCCCGATGACACTGACTGGCAGGCGATGAGGCCCGTGGAGCCCACCCCGGCTCAGTGCTGTGGCAGTGGCTGTTCCCCTTGTGTCTATGATATCTACCAAGCTCAGCTGGAATTGTGGGAGAAAGCCAAAGACAGGGGAGACCCCCAACTCCTCAGGAGAGCCAAAGACAGGGGAGACCCCCAACTCCTCAGGAGAGCCAAAGACAAAGAGGTAATAACACGGGTCTACGTATACAGTACTTCATATGATGGATATTCATTGGCAGCTTCCACAAACAGACAAACAGACTTTTGTATGAAGTTCGTGAAAGAATTGTTTTAGACATCCAATCAGATTCTCTCCTGTCTTCCTCTAGAACAATATTGGAGAATGAAAGGTATGGGATTGTACATCCTTATTATCACCCCACCCCCCAAAATGAGCGTTATAAAAACCCACCAGACATATGAATATGTAGAAAACTTGGCTACAGCCCTTTATTGGCCTTTAAATCTAACTTTTATTTACTTATTTCAGGTACTTATATAGTGCTGTCAATTTATGCAGCACTTTACATATATATTGTACATTCACATCAGTCCCTAACCCTCAAGGGGAGTACAATATAAGGTCCATAACTCACATTCATACATACACATACTAGGGACAAGTTAGACAGGAGCCAATTTGAAGCTCCTTAGTGGGGGTCATGTCACCAATAGACATTCACATGATTTAAGATGGTGTATTCTTTTTGATTTATGATGCCTAAATCTTGAAAACTAAGATTGTTGGTTATATAATGTCTGAACCAGTACTGTTACTTTTTTTTACACTAATTTTCTAATACACTATATTGCCAAAAGTATTGGTCGGCCCGCCTTTACACGCACATGAACTTTAATAGGAATCCCAGTCTTAGTCCGTAGGGTTCAATATTGAGTTGGCCCCCGCCCTTTGCAGCTATAACAGCTTCAACTCTTCTGGGAAGGCTGTCCACAAGGTTTAGGAGTGTGTCTATGGGAAGGTTGGACCATTCTTCCAGAAGCACATTTGTGAGGTCAGGCACTGATGTCAGACTAGAAGGCCTGGCTCACAGTCTCCGCTCTAATTCATCCCAAAGGTGTTCTATTGGGTTGAGGTCAGGACTCTGTGCAGGCCAGTCAAGTTCCTCCACCCCAAACTCGCTCATCCATGTCTTTATGGACCTTGCTTTTTGCACTGGTGAGCAGTCATGTTAGAACAGGAAGGGGCCATCCCCAAACTGTTACTACAAAGTTGGGAGCATGAAATTGTCCAAAATATCTCGGTATGCTGACGCCTTAAGAGTTCCCTACACTGAAACTAAGGGGCCAACCCCTGAAAAACAACCCCACATCATAATCCCTGCTCCACCAAACTTTACACTTGGCACAATACAAGTCGGGAAAGTACTGTTTTCCTGTCAACCACCAAACCCAGATACATCCATCGGATTGCCAGACAGAGAAGCGTGATTACTCACAACAGAGAACACGTCTCCACTGCTCTAAAGTCCAGTGGCGGCGTGCTTTACACCACTGCATCCGACGCTTTGCATTGCACTTGATGATGTAAGGCTTGCATGCAACTGCTCGGCCATGGAAACCCATTCCATGAAGCTCTCTACGCACTGTTGTTGTGCTAATCTGAAGGCCACATGAAGTTTGGAGGTCTTTAGCTATTGACTCTGCAGACAGTTGGTGACATCTGCGCACTTCAGCATGCGCTGACCCCCGCTCTGTCATTTTACATGGCTTACCACTTCATGGCTGAGTTGCTGTTGTTCCCAGTTGCTTCCACTTTGTTATAATCCCACTAACAGTTGACCGTGGAATATTTATTCGCAAGGAAATGTCACGGATGGACTTATTGCAGAGGTGGCCACCTATCACGGTACCACGCTTGCATTCACTGAGCTCCTGAGAGCGACCCATTCTTTCACAAATGTCTGTAGAAGCAGTCTGCATGCCTAGGTGCTTGATTTTATACACCCGTGGCCATGGAGGTGATTGGAACACCTGAATCCAATGATTTGGAGGGCTGGCCCAACATTTTTGTCTATATAGTATATATGACTGATGGATTAAATTTAAAGAATAACTCCAAGTTTACTATGATTTAAAATGGTTTGTTTGAATGAAGCTGTTTTAAAATCTTGACCCTCAGAACCCCAGTGTGCTGCTGAGCGCAGAGGATTTCAGAGACTTCAGAATTTTCTCGATGGAACAAGAAACAGAGGACACCAACCGGTACCGATTTCAGCTGCCTACTGGAGGCAGTTTGGGATTGAATTTGGGACAACACCTTGTACTAAGGTAGACTGTGCTCTGCTTAAAGTGATTGCAAAACAACGTTTTTGGTTTTCTTAAAATAACAAACTTCTACTTACCTGCTCTGGGCAAAGGAATTGCACAGAGCAACCCCGAACCTCCTCTTTTCATGTCCCCTGCCAGCGCTCCTGGTTCCTCCTCTTCTTGGCGTGCCACCATAGGAAGTCACTTCCTATAGTTGCACACATGTGGGCTCGATCCTCAGCCGCGCTGCCTGTATCCATTTGCAAAGACAGTGCAGCTCAGCCCCGCCCTCTGCTCCATCATTACAGGATTTGACTGACAGCAACGGGAGACTATGGCTCCTGCTGCTGCAGCAACGCCTGTGAGACCAGAAAGTGAGTGGGGAGAGCCATTGCAGACAGGCACAGTGCTGGATCAAGTGAGGACCTAGGTAAGTATTAGGAAGGGTGAGGGGGGTGATACTTTTACCTAAATATTTTTGGCCTTAATGCAAGGAATGCATAAGGCCCCTTTCAGACAGGTGAACGCCATCCCGATCAGCAAGGGATCCGCTCACAGATCCCCTGATGTTTGGAAAAGAGCAGGCAGATGACAAGTCTGTGTCCACGCTGCAGAAAGTGCATCTACCTGCTCTGCACTATGGGTGGCCAGGAATAAATGGACTCTGCTGTCTGTTTACACTCTCAGATCCATTCTGCCTAAATGGAAGAGGATGGATCCCCTTCGTTTTTTTTTTTGTTTGTTTTTTTTCTTTTTGGTGGACCAGATCAGACCCAGAGGTGGATGGATGTAAATAGACAAGTCCATTTGCGCCTACCTTTCCATAGGGGAGAATGGACTTTCTGATCAGGTCCACCTGAAAAACTGACAGGTGGGCCTGTTCAAACCCGCCGTGTGAAAGGGGCCTTAAGCTCAAAAATGTTTAGGGTTTAGAACCACTTTAATCCTGCACTAATATTTCATGAGATTTAGTCAGAGGTCAGTTTTCACATATTGAGGCTTACCATGAAATCTTTACTGGAGGACACTATAAGCATAGTGATGTCCTTCATTTATAGGGATGCCCTTCATTTATAGGGATGCCCTTCATTTATAGGGATGTCCTTCATTAATAGGGATGTCCTTCATTTATGGGGATGTCCTTCATTTATGGGGATGTCCTTCATTTATGGGGATGTCCTTCATTTATACATGCTATACCTATATTCCCTTCACACATTCCTGGAAGTATGGCTCATCAATAGAGGGTGCTGTAGTGACTACCAGCTGGGACTGGAAACATCATAGGCAAACATATATATTCGCCAGCACACCACGGATCTTGACATGGTCCAAAAAAGGTTTTTACTCCAAAAAGATCACATCACGAAGAAAAGAGCAACGTTTCGGAGCCATGTAGGACCCCTTCGTCAGACATGTTATAAGGATCCAGTACAAAAGTGCAGCGCTAAAACGAGTACAAAAATAAATTATATCAAGTGGAACAGTCAAGTGAACCATATAAGTGCACTGAAAGTGCAGATATACTACAAGATAAAAGAGGTATGTAGAATAAATAATGATAATTATGTCCGTAACCATAAGTAATAATCATCAAAATAGTGAGGTATAAAATGAAATACAATAATAATATTCAGTCCATAAATTTCATTATATCAATGTCCATAGGACCACAAAGTGCAATAATCAAAGGTGCAACATAACTGTGATAATAATCAAGTGCAGGAATCTACCACCTCTGTCAGATGTAAACTCACAAGAAAGCTACTGGTAAATAGCATGTATGTATATCACATCTGAAGTTCAAGAGACAGCCAGGGGATCTAGCACAAACTGCTCCGATGTAGGCAAAAGAAGGAAGATGGACCCTTTCCTAGAGAAGATAGCTCACCACAGGAGCTCAGAAATCGTATATTGTGTAGTAATTTTCTTATAATATAAAGTAATATATCCACGTGGAATAACGTGTAAAATCAGGTATAAAAGAGTACCAAGATGGCCGCCGCTTAGGCAGCAGCGGCGTGACGTCAGCAAGTGTGGCTCTGCCTAAAATGTGATACGGATCACTTTTCTTTGTGATGTGATCTTTTTGGAATAAAAATATTTTTGGACCATGTCAAGATCCGTGGTGTGCTGGCGAATATGTGAGTTTTTCTTCATTTATACATGGTCCCTGCCAATTCCTTGGCACATCTACACACAGGATAAGTAAAGATGACAGTGCGGGAGAAAAGCCGTGGGATAAAATCACCATGGGAGCAGATTTTCTGTTTAGCACGCTAAAGCGGGTCTAGATTCAAGTCTGACCCTTCACTCCCATGGCTTCAATGACCAAGAACCTTCACAGACATGTTCCATTGGTGTTTACCAGGGGCGGACTGACCATTCGAGCATTCGGGCACTGCCCGAGGGCCCGGGGTCAGTAGGGGGCCCCATGAAATGCCCCTGGTACCTTTTTATAGGCTTTTTTGGGTGTGCTCTGAGTGTGGGCAAGAACACAGGGGCCCCATGATCCCCTATTGCCCGGGGGCCCCATGAGTTGTCAGTCTGCCCCTGGTGTTTACATTACTTTATGGAGAATTTGGTAGAAACGTTGAATAGCTTAGGGTTAGGTTTCAGTTTATATTGGCCTTTCTCAATTTTTTTTTTATTTTTCTCGAGGAACCCTTGAAAACATTTTACAATCTAAAGGAATCCCTGAATTTGTTATCTGATTTACAGCTTGCGATACATTATTGTGATCAGTGAATTGTAGGTATGGTAATAAATATGTTGCTATAATAAACACTAATAAAATAGATAACAGAATTGCATACTAAGACCTCGTTCTAGGGGCGTACACAAGCGTACACACTTGCAAGGACCTTGTTTGCCTGCACTGGATTCACAGATCTTTCGTTCATCTGCGTGCGGACAGTCCTATTTATGTCTATTGGGAGCAGCATGTCCTGCATGGACACAACCACTGCTCCCAGTTTGACATACATGTGGGAGCAGGTGTGTGCTGGCCCCTGTCCCGGAGCTCACACTGCCTGTGTTCTGGGACGTGCACCCACACGAATGCTGTGAGACATATCGCATGGAGACACTCTGCACAGGTTTTTTTTTTTTTCTTGGGAGAGTGCATGTGATCAGCACAGGGCCAATTGGCACTGCCCGGACAGAGGTCAGGGATTCTGCATCTTCCTAGAGCAGAAAGAGAACTCCTCCTACAAGCTTCAACCAGTGCTCTGCTGAACACCAACAGAATTCACAAGACTGCTCTAAGTGCTGATGAGAAAAGGTATTTAGCAGTTTATATTTACTAAAATAATTTAATTTCCATGTTGTGTGTATTGTGGGAGAGCAGATATAGTGGATGCAGGGTCCTGGGTTTACTAACACTTTAAATATGCCCGTAAAAATGATGCCTTAAATGACAGTCACAAAAATACATTGATGCCTAGCAGTATTAAACCCAAAAGCAAACATTTTATTATATTGCAGCTTGCCAATTAGATGCAATGGCTGCATTTTTCTTTTTTTTTATTTCTTTTATTTGTACCTGGTGATCCAATCAGTAAGTCTGTTGTTTTTCAAAAGAACAAGCTGTCTCGCTGTTACAGGGATGAGACAAATCATTTAACACTGGCAGGGGTGCTTAAAATGATCAGCTTTTATTTATTTATGTAAAACCTTTATCTCAAAAGGAAAAAAAACTGTTTGCTGTAACTGATTATATAAGGTATTAGTTGGAGTTCAGCTTTCATTTTTTTTAGTGTATTTATCTGCTAGTACATCCAACACTCCCATCCCCCAAGACTGATGATTCTGCTGTCCAAAGGTGTCCTGTGGGTTCCTTCATCTAGACTTTAATACAGGAGGTGTGTTACAGACCAGATCGCAAGAGGAAAAAAAGACTAAAAAAAGAAAGCTAATGCAGCCATTACATCCAATAATTGGTAAGCTGCAATGTATTACATTTTTGGTATTAGGTTTACAATGTTGGTAACAGGGGCGGACTGACAACTCATGGGGCCCCGGGCAATAGGGGATCATGGGGCCCCTGTGTCCTTGCCCAAACTCAAAAAAGCCTATGAAAAAGGTACCAGGGGCATCTCATGGGGCCCCCTACTGACCCCGGGCCCTCGGGCAGTGCCTGAGTTTCCAAATGGTCAGTCCGCCCCTGGTTGGTAACACCACTATAGGCTTCCCCATTGCACTGGTATCAGTTAGTAATAGCTGCAGGGGCAGAAGTGAAGATGGTGTAGGGCAGATAGAAAGCCATTGTATTGGCGGTGGAACCCCTGGGGACTCTAGGGTCCTGCAGACCCCGATTTAAGAAACCCTGGTATAGGTTCACTCACAGCTATTATTTTTTTTTTTTCAGAGGGAGAGTGAATGGTTTGGATATACAAAGAGCGTATACACCTGTCAGCTCCATAGATGCAAAAGGCTACTTTGATGTTTTAATCAAGGTAATTTTCACATCGTATAAAACATTTTTATTAATTTAGATAGAAACCATTTATTCCACAGCACTCTGCACTCAGAGCCATTCACACCTGTCTCTGCCTCCCAAGCAGCCCACAGCTAATGTCTGTAGCAGATTTATACAGACACTATGGGGGTTATTTACTAAACCTGGAGAGTGCAAAATCTGGTGTAGCTCAGCATAGAAACCAATCAGCTTCCAGGTTTTACTGTCAATGCTTAATGGAGCAAGCAGCTGATTGGTTACCATGCACATCTTCACCAGGTTCTGAGTGCACCAGTTTTAGTAAATCCCCCCCCCCCTATAGGGTTGATTTCAAAAGAGTTGTTTTTTTCCCCCCCCAAAATTATACTTACCTACAGTCAGGTCCATAAATATTGGGACATCGACACAATTCTAACATTTTTGGCTCTTTACACCACCACAATGGATTTGAAATGAAACGAACAAGATGTGCTTTAACTGCAGACTGTCCGCTTTAATTTGAGGGTATTTACATCCAAATCAGGTGAACGGTGTAGGAATTACAACAGTTTGCATATGTGCCTCCCACTTTTTAAGGGACCAAAAGTAATGGGACAGAATAATAATCATAAATCAAATTTTCACTTTTTAATACTTGGTTGCAAATCCTTTGCAGTCAATTACAGTCTGAAGTATGGAACGCATAGACATCACCAGACGCTGGGTTTCATCCCTGGTGATGCTCTGCCAGGCCTCTACTGCAACTGTCTTCAGTTCCTGCTTGTTCTTGGGGCATTTTCCCTTCAGTTTTGTCTTCAGCAAGTGAAATGCATGCTCAATCGGATTCAGGTCAGGTGATTGACTTGGCCATTGCATAACATTCCACTTATTTCCCTTAAAAAACTCTTTGGTTGCTTTTGCAGTATGCTTTGGGTCATTGTCCATCTGCACTGTGAAGCGACGTCCAATGAGTTGTGAAGCATTTGGCTGAATATGAGCAGATAATATTCCCGAAACACTTCAGAATTCATCCTGCTGCTTTTGTCAGCAGTCACATCATCAATAAATACAAGAGAACCAGTTCCACTGGCAGCCATACATGCCCACGCCATGACACTACCACCACCATGCTTCACTGATGAGGTGGTATGCTTAGGATCATGAGCAGTTCCTTTCCTTCTCCATACTCTTCTCTTCCCATCACTCTGGTACAAGTTGATCTTGGTCTCATCTGTCCATAGGATGTTGTTCCAGAACTGTGAAGGCTTTTTTAGATGTCGTTTGGCAAACTCTAATCTGGCCTTCCTGGTTTTGAGGCTCACCAATGGTTTACATCTTGTGGTGAACCCTCTGTATTCACTCTGGTGAAGTCTTCTCTTGATTGTTGACTTTGACACACATACACCTACCTCATGGAGAGTGTTCTTGATCTGGCCAACTGTTGTGAAGGGTGTTTTCTTCACCAAGGAAAGAATTCTTCGATCATCCACCACAGTTGTTTTCCGTGGTCTTCCGGGTCTTTTGGTGTTGCTGAGCTCACCGGTGCGTTCCTTCTTTTTAAGAATGTTCCAAACAGTTGTTTTGGCCACGCCTAATGTTTTTTCTATCTCTCGGATGGGTTTGTTTTGTTTTTTCAGCCTAATGATGGCTTGCTTCACTGATAGTGACAGCTCTTTGGATCTCATCTTGAGAGTTGACAGCAACAGATTCCAAATGCAAACAGCACACTTGAAATGAACTCTGGACCTTTTATCTGCTCATTGTAATTGGGATAATGAGGGAATAACACACTCCTGGCCATGGAACAGCTGAGAAGCCAATTGTCCCATTACTTTTGGTCCCTTAAAAAGTGGGAGGCACATATGCAAACTGTTGTAATTCCTACACCGTTCACCTGATTTGGATGTAAATACCCTCAAATTAAAGCGGACAGTCTATAGTTAAAGCACATCTTGTTTGTTTCATTTCAAATCCATTGTGGTGGTGTATAGAGCCAAAAATGTTAGAATTGTGTCGATGTCCCAATATTTATGGACCTGACTGTAGGTGGATGCAGCATTGGTTCAATGCGGCATTTATCCCCTGCTGGCTCCAAGTGTGATCACATGACCGCTGATTGAGTTCTCACAGCCGCTTTGATCAGAGAGCGGGACTGACGGTCACCACTGTCTGCTCTGTTCCCCCCCCCACCCCCCACGCTCACTGGAGCACTGGGCTGTGGAGGGGGAGGGAGCGACTGGCTCAGGATCTCATCGCCTTGTTGAGAGGATGAGCCAGGTGCCACTCCAGACTCTGGGGTGGATCCCAACTCCCAAAGTTGGGATCTTTCCCCAGCGCTTACCAAATCGCTAAAGGAAAACGAGGATGAGCAAGGTGCTGCTCCAGACTCTGTTGGGATCTTTCCCCCGCCTGGACCGGCTGAGTGACATCAGCCGACTTCAACTTCAGCCCGCTGTCAGCTGAAAATGGGTCACAGGAGTGCAGAACGAACTGCACTCCTGTAATCCACAGAAGTACAGCCAAAAGAGCTTGGGCTGTACTTCTCCTTTAAATTCACTTCACTTTTCAAGGGAATTTCCCCCTGAGCTTAGTAAATGTGGTGAAATTTCACTTTGCTAAGAATACCCAATTAAGTGCAAGAGAAATAAAAAAGAAAACATTTTTGCACGCAGAGCTTCACCTCATTTACTAATCTCTGGGGATAATTTCTTTTGGAAAGTACAACTTCCCTTTCAAAGTGAACAATCTATTTGCATTTACCCTACTAGTTTTTGGGATAGAGTATGGAGGGGTTTAACCACATGACCTCCTGAGGATTTACCCCCTTTCCTGACCAGGCCATTTTTTGCGTTACGGCACTGTGTTACTTTAACTGACAATTGCGCGGTCATGCAACACTGCACCCAAATGAAATTGACGTTCTTTTTTTCCCCACAAAAAGAGCTTTTTTTCGGTGGTATTTGATCGCCAGTGCGGTTTTTATTTTTTGCGCTATGAACAAAAACCTTTTGAGGAAAAAAAACTGTATTTTTGACTTTTTGCTATTAAACATGTCCAGTAAAAAAATTTAAAAAATCTAATTTCCTCATAAATTTGGGCCAAAATGTATTCTGCTACATGTCTTTGCTAAAACAAAATCCCAATAAGTGTAATTTAATTGGTTTACGTGAAAGTTCTAGCGTTTACAAATGGTGGTATAGATACTGTAATTTTTTTTTTTTTTCCTTACTAGTAATGGCGGCCATCAACGACTTATAGCAGGAATGCAGCAGACATTCTGACACTGGGAGGAAACTGACTTGCTGTCACTGACATCCCCAGTGACACCAATACAGTATCAGTGCTGATAAAAAGCAAAGACACTGTACTAATGGCACTGGGCAGGAAGGGGTTAACTGTGCTGTGTGTGGGCTGTGTGTGTGTTTCACTGTAAGCACACTGCTTTGTTTGCTCTGCTATACAGAGTCATACAAAGCAGTGAGCAGGAGCTGACGGGGAGAGATCTGTGTTTTTATACACTGGTCTCTACCCGTTGGAGACACTTGGCGATCACCACATGTCGGCTAGTAATCACCGGCCATGACCCAGTGATTGACAGCCAAGGCCGCGAATGGCAGCATGGGTTGGACGCGTGCGCGCCCCCTACCCAGAACTGCAAAAGCACGTATATATACATGATTTTGCACACCCGTGCCACCCTGTAGCAGTATTTCTGCTATAGGGCGGCGCGGAACCAGTTAAAGCAGTGATTCATGCTGATAGCAGAAGAACAACACAGCAGACAGAAATGACAATTAGTGCTCTAAATTGAGACAAGTGTTATTATTATACAGGATTTATATAGCACCAACAGTTTGCTCAGCGCTTTACAATATAACAGGAGACAATAAAACAACACAGATCAATACAAGAGGGATAGGAGGGCCCTGCTCCTCAGAGCTTACAATCTAAGAACAAATTGTATTATAGTGCAGCGCTAAAATATATAGACAAAAGAGACCAATAAAATCCAATCACTGTGTAAAATAGTGTGTATGATAGCTGGTGTCATAAAACGTGAATCCTGTATTCAACTGGAAGTTGGTGCTTGTGCAATCAAAAATGAGAAGAATGCGCACTCACCAGAGCGCATAATAAAATGCACATTTGTATGTAAATATCCTGATGTCACCGAAGGTCATCAAGATCTGGTCAGGAATGGAGTAGAATCCCTCACTGAGTGTGCCTGGATCCTGTAGCCTCTGGTGTGTGATGGAAAGGTAACCAGGATCCCTTTAAGGGATGGACAGGTCAGCTTACCAGGTGTATGGAAATCCTGCTGCGGGTCCTGCGAATCTGTAAAGTAAGCCTCCTCCTGTGTTATGTCAAAAGTTGTCAAACTATTTTACACAGTGATTGCATTTTATTGGTCGCTTTTGTCCATATATTTTAGCACTGCACTATAATACAATTTGTCTGAGGTTTTACTGGTTACCTGAGTGCTTAGCAGCTTTTAGTGCGCTGGCAACTATATACTATTTGTTTAGTGTGGAGGGATATCCTTTGTTCATATTTCATGTCTGAAGATTACAACCACTTTAATGCATTCTCCGCATTAAGGTGCCCCCAGTCCCCAAACAGCTAAGACTTCATTTAGACATGCAATTGGGGAGTGAAGAAAATACACATTTGAGACACTTTATTGCCCCCCCCACCTTAATCAGCAATAGGCAGCAGATGAGGGTGTTTACATTCTGCAGGCGCAAAGTTTACTCAAGATGGATTGATTGGCGGGTAGCAAAGCTGTCAAACACTACACATTCAAGCAAATGAGGAAGTGCCACGCAGTTGCGATGCGATTGTTGACAAAAATGGAGTTAAAACAGGTGGTGAGGAGACATCACATTGCTTCCTCGCCACCTTTTGGTAGCCTCTGAAGTGCAATCCGAACGTCAGGTTTCAGAGAAAGAAAGATTAGGCACATGTCTAAATCTGCCCTTAGGCTAGGCTCACACCTATGCAGGTTGCATTTGAGCCATT